TGTTTATTCCCCCGGAACTGGCGTAATTTTGGAAAAATTGAAAAAAAGGAATACGGTATGAAAACCCCGAACAGTCATGTGGGAGCATTAATGTCATCCTCTTCTCCCCAACATGTCTGTTTTACAGATGGTAATGTCTCACTGAAGGTTGGACTAACTGGGCAGCATCTGCCGCCATCAGACTACTTGCGGGAATCTAGATCGGACCCATAAAGCACAAGGGAATGTCCCTGTTCCACCCTGCGGCTAGACTGCAATTGGTCGGTTAGGACAGAAATTTAGACCATTTATCTTCAAGGCATTTAATTGCTGGCGGCGCCTGCCGTCCTGGTATTTGTCGTACCTAAAGAAAGGTCAAGGTTCCGAAGACGGTTCATTCAGTCCAGAGCAACTGTTAAAAACGCCTAGATGGCAACGCCGTAGGTTCCTGGACGGCATGAACGTGTGCTACTTACATACGTTCAAAAGAGCATAAAGCCAACGCCAGTAGGTGACATCAAAACCACTGATGTGTGCACTGCGGAGGCCTGTTATCAAATCCCCATAGGGAGCAGCTGTTGAACAGAAAACCTCTGGGTACTAAAAGGCGGTTGCATTTTCTATGTACAGCAGGAGCCCAATATTCAGGTAAAGGAGGTTGAAGGGGGAGGGACAAGGACGAGATAAGGACATGGGTCGAGGAGAGTGATTAAGAGACCCGCATAAGTTTCGCTTGTTTCTTCTCCTCAAGGGCCTTTTTACGGGCGGCCACGTCAATATCGCGTTGTTTGAGGAAGGCTGCGTAGGCTTCTGGCGAGTGGTCTACACTGCCGTTCTCGAGCTCTTCTTTTGAAATAATCTGGATGCCAAGTCGGTGGGCAGTACTTATCAGACTGATGCAGATGGACTTTAAGGGAACCGTCTCCAAGGCTGCGTCCTGCTTCTTCAGACAGGCAATCTCATAGATGTGCTTCAGAGTCAGCCGGCCGGCCACTTCGGTTCCTATGAGTGCAAAATACAATTTTCAGGAGGGAAATTAATTAGGAATATATCAGATAATTTTAATTGCTAATTGGATTGGGGGGAAGAAATACCCTCTGGAGGCTAGCGCAAGGCCACGGGGATAAACATTCGCGTACCCTATAGAATTATCATCAACCGAACGACCGAAAATACAGACCTTTACCCTCACGACTAAGCCAAAAGACATTTGTGCTATCATATCTTTGATGCTCATATGACCAAAGCAACCGTAGACGCTGACGTTTTTGCCGATCGATCGATCGATCAACCATCCAACGAACAACGGACATATTCGTCTGCCCATTGCGCTCAGATGTTGCTCGCCGACTGAAACTCACCTTGTCTAAATAATCCACTGCCCCATAACTCTGCAAGACATGAGTTGAGTGAAAGCCGCTACAAGATTTCATCTACCCACCGGTCGTAACAATAAAAGACATCAACCACGGAAAACATTGCTAGAAGAACCCCGCAACGAGGCGGTACATAGCTACCACTGGCTTCTAGGCACGCAAAGTTTGGGAAAATTTCCAGACAATGGTTGAGAACCGGAAGTCCTGTTTCCGGTAACAATCTATTAAATGTAACATCACAGCAACCAAAAACCCTCAAAATTTGTAGTACGGGCCCCGTGGTAATAGGCGTTATACGGTGGGAGCATTGCAGGGAAGCAGGAGAGAAAATAAAAGCATAGCAAACAAAAACAGGAAACAGTTGGTAAAATCAGTGTTTAAGGCTAATATATAGCAACGATGAAGCGTACACTAATTGAAAAAATCAACAAAAAGCAACTTGCGACAAATCAGGTGTAACTAATTAAGCCGCATATTAGTAAATCAGAGCAGTTCAGTCGCCAATGGTAAATACAGCCAACAGGAAGCAATAAACGCGAAAGTAAAAGTCCCAAATGGTCACATTTATTTAAGTGATATGGACATCGTGCTACATAAAATAGATTGCAATCCCGTTACCCAACATGTTTGTCTAGTGTAAGGGTGTGCAGTTGGGGGTCCAACCGTGAAGGTGGCGATTACTCCTAGCCTCGCATAACTGGGACCCAACTTTTCCTGTGGTTTCTTGAAACTAGGTTCTGCCTAGCGACCACACCCTGGTCAGCGCGCCGACAGGTGCGCTTAACCAGATGAGGGTATTCCATGTTTTCGGTGTCTCCACACATGATAATTTCGTTCCCCTTACTTCTCTCCTTCAAACTTTCAAAGGTCCTACGGAGAGGATGAAATACAGTCCTGTAAGCGGCCCACAGACTAACGTTGGTCGCGCTTCCACTAAATAAAGTCGTTAACCGTAGTGGCGGCGCCCAGTCAAACCTGAAAAGTGAGGGCACATAAAGCCTTCTGGCCAGGCTGTATAACGAAGCGCCTTAAAACAAAACCATGGACACACAGTGGCGCAGTGCAAAGAACAGTGAGATGGCCGGATGTACAGCCGAAGTCGGGTCTCTATTTTGCAGCCTGGTCGGAGCCAGGCTTCAGCTACTTGCTGACATCTTCACCTGAATAAGCGCATTTGCAAGACAACCGAAAACATTGCAGGCCTATTTACCATTGGTGCCCAAATAGCTAGTGACATCTGTACGCTGAATTGCGCGCCAGCCGGCTGACATTATCGATTTTTGTGGTCGGTCAAGTCCGAAAACGGTGTCAGTCTTCTGAAGGCTTAACTAAACGCGAAAATGAATCTCGTAGACCTACCCGCTTATGTGATAAATATGCCCCTTATAACAGCGATACGTCAGGACAACCTCCCTTATGTAATCGCCGCACTAGAAAAATATCCCTGCCTGGCCTGCTCTCTTTTGTACACTGTCGACGAGAAGCAAGTCCTGGGCCTGTTCAAGGGCCTCATACAGCCACCTACTGCCCTTCTTCTGACACCCTTTGGCTACGCCTTTCTTTTCAGCAGCAAAGAAGTTCTCAAACATCTTTTGTTGAACACCAACACCAGCCAACAGACCTGCTTCGTGGCTGACTGTCTGGACTCTGAACAACGGTGGCGAAAGCGACATCGCATCCTGGAGATCCCTCCCATGGCACTGCGCGTGCCTCAGGCTGAAACCTACCGTCCACTGATGCTGAACAAATTCAATTTTGACAACCGACAGCAAATAAACTGTCGGGTTTTCACTGGGACGGGCTTCAAAACATCCCAAGTGGTGGCAGAGAGTGTCTGGGAGATGGTCTGGTCTGTGTGGCCACCAGCTAAGGACGCCAACGTCCTGGTGGAATTCACCGCAGTCCTGCTAAACGCCGGTTGCAACGCCAAACTACTGGTAAAGCGGCTAAATTTTGAGAAACTATTCAATAGCTGCAAGCCCGCGGCGACAAATCCAGCCAATTTTGTCAGCTTCCTCTACCTCCTAATATTTCACGGAGCTGATTTGCAAGACAACACTGTGCTCGCCAACTTTCTCAACGCCATAGTCTATTTGACCACATTAGACACCCAGGAGACGCATATACTCAAAGGCCTGTTTATTGCGGTATACAATTTGTCCAACGATTTCAGTGAGTATCCCATTATTGTCGGCATCATCAAAAGGGCCCTGAAGATTGACAAGTTGTCCCGAAGTGTGCACCGCTCGCTCAAGTTTATGTGCATCCGCAAGATACGCAGGCAGATTGGCGGAGCGGGATTCTTTCGCACCATCTCAAAGATGAACATGGATAAGGAGTGCAAATACGCCCTCTTAACTGGAATTCCCACAGTGAATCATGAGGCGGCTGTTCAACAGCTAGTGGAAGGTCTGCAGGCGGTATAGGATGTTCCCGTTTAGATGGAAGCAACAGAGCAAAAAAATAAACCATTTTTTAACGCGGAGCAGATCTGACCATGATAACTTGGGTGGGATTGCGATTTACGGGGTGGCAGAAGAGGGTATGAGCATACAGATTGAAGACGGTGATGATGACGAACATCATATCAAATGACAGACTTCATAGTATTTGTTTGTACTCCCGATCAACAACTGGCAAGACAGCGAACTCGATGGCTCAGCTGTTAGGACGTCTGCCCCTGACCGGCGAGATGAGAGTTCGAAACTCGGGTGTGGCGGAAATTTCAGTGGCTACACTAGAGTTGGCTGCCCGTAGCTGATGATGACGGCCAAAAAGCCAGAAATAGCTATACTACGGTGCCTTGTCTTTGCCGGAATACTAACATAGAAAAGACTTCATAGTTTCCATACGTCTACTGACGTACAACGTCTAATAACCCATCAAGACCCTAGGCCTGCAGGGTTGAAGAGGCAATAAGAACGGCTGCCTGGGTTGTGACAATATACGACTAAAACAATTAATTTAACTACTCCGCCAAAGTTACAGAGACTGAAATTATCGCAACCGTACTGTGCCAATAGAAGCCGGTTTCGTAGAAGGATTTCTCTCATCTGCAGTATTAGAATAAATATGCATTCGAGTGGGCAGTGTTACTAAACTGAAACATTAATAGTAAATACCAAATGACTCAAGTGCATGTGTACTGTGTGGCGAGTGAGAACATTTTCCAAAATGTATGTCGATCATAATAAGGGAAAGGTAATTACTGCAGCAGCGTGTATTTTGTGCACGGACAAAGAGTGGGCAAATTTAGTGTAGGAGGAATGCAAAAAAGCATTTTACTGCTGTACTCAGTCTATGCGAAATCAAGTTTTGAGATGTCGTAAATGAGTGATGGAAGTCTGTAAATTCAAGCAAACACCTAAAAAGTATATACTTAAGGCTTCTAAATCACATGCAATTATTGTGCCCGGAATATGCTAATACACTCCTTCTTGTTCTTATGTAAAGTTCTAGTAATTTCTGAGAGTTTCAATTTTAATATAGAGTCCGTTGCGAATTCAGTGAACAGAATTCATAAATAGGGGGATATAGGGCTTCACGATAATTCAAACGAGCCCCAAAAATCACCGGAATTACTGGATCACTTCCGTCTTTCAAATGCAAACTCTGAGAAGGAAACTTTTTTTCCGTGAAATGGGTGTAATAAATTAAATCTTTGTGATTGCTTCCTAGTTAATATGACGTGAGCTATTAAAGCCTAGGAAGTCAAGAAAAAACTGCACACCACTGAAGTGGTCGTTTTTTTTCGAGCATGATTCATATAGGCGAGTGAGAAATGTTTTGATATAAACTTAACAGGCGACTCTACATGAATCAAACTGAGGAAACATTAATTGCCGACCTGTCTTGCAAAGCACACCAGGCAATTTTTTGTGGGCTTATAAAATTGGCAGACGGAACACAACTGAAAGACATTTTTACGTCCATGTTCGAAGCAGGGACTACGGGAGACCATTTCTCTACCGAGACGCCCCATGGCGAACTGGCTGGCCTGTTTCTTTGCACTGTCCGAGGGCTGTAGTTCACGCACGCTGCCTGGACTTAGCGAAGGCCTGCGGTACTGCAAGACAATTTCCTGTCCAATACTAGCACAGTCGACATAAACTACCGGCCGCTGTTGCTGATTATCCTCTACGAAACGCGATTAATGCTACCGACGACCAAATACAAATATAGGAAGCCTTGAGGCCTATAGACGAAGTAACTGCCACTAGTGCATACGAAAAGTACATGGGAACCACAACAGACGCGTCTTCGTCGCGTTCCCACCCACCCTTACGGCGGCCAAGGTCTGCTACTCCAATCTCCCTACGGTGGATCTACCTCCCCTCCTCTTCATCTGTGTTTTCGATGACGGAGCAGCCCATCCCGACCATGCTGCTCCG